TTTCCAGTATGTAACCCCAAACCGGGCAAGGGGGAGTCCTGTCTAAGCCACCCCAACCTGCTGATGGACATGCTAGCCTGGGACCAGGAGGGTCCCCGTGACCACTGCCCCTGTGCCGATGACCTTCAGTGCCAGCCTCATGGGTGAGACCAAACACAGCAGCACACGTTAACAGTGAAAAAATAGCAAGTGTAATTTGTTTTTGCTTGAAATTCACATTTTTCTCTTTTCTTGCAGCCGTGGATCTGTGTGTGGATAACAGTACTGGAGATTTACAGTGCAGCAGAGTTAGATGAAATGACCTTAACGATCCAAAGACGGACGCCTCTGCTGATCAACAGCTGCTGGAAGTACAGGCTGTTGCTTCAGGACTGAACTTGCACTCACTGTATTATTTATGCCTTACTGCCAGTGTATATTATATATATATTAAAAACAACAACAACAATAAATGACTTGTTTTCAGCTTTGAGAACCAAGGAAAGCACGTTCTGTTATTTACTGGTGATCTTATTTTTGGTTTGTCAGCAGTGAACACTAGAGGGCGAACTTTTACACATTTAAAAACTTGGTGGGTATCTCTTTTTGTAATGACCTTTCATTGACCTTAGTGGAAACTATTAAATGTCAAGAAAATGTGTGAAGGAGAATTGATAAGGAGGAGAATCAGTGAATCTGACTGCATGTACACTAGGCTCCTTAACCTTGTGATATCTGCTGTGTTGAAACTACAAAGTCCAGAAGATGGACTACAAAATGCACATCGTACTTCACCCTGACTTTCTTACTCATATTATTTCATGCAGGTCATATAAAAAAGAACCAGATGTGGAAAAATATCACTTACAAATTCAAAAAGTTGGATCCATCTATCCGCTTATCCTTTTTGGGGTCCTGGGGGGCGCTGCAGCCTATCCCAGGGGGGCGAGAGGCAGGGTACACCCTGGTCAGGTCACCAGTCTGTCGCAGGCGACCAATCGTACTCACATTCACTGCTGCATTCAATCCTATGGGCAATTTTATGTTTTCCAGTTAACCTGTCCCCACTAACTGCATGTCTTTGGACTGTGGGAGGAAGCTGGGGGAGAGCCAGGCAAACAAATAAAATAGATCCTGTTTGGGGGGGTTTTTCGTTTGTTTTTGGGGGGTTTTGCTGGGAAGGGGATCCAGTATAACTCCTTTCTGTGACTGAAGAAAAATTTCTTCCACTCATCTCTTATCGAGTTCAGGCTGGAGGCTGTCTTATATTACCCAAAGTAAAAAATTTAAAATGATGACTATCCTAAATGCTGGCAAAACAAACAAATGTGCATAAAAATGCAAATTAAACTATAGTTAACTTTAAACAGTTATATAGCTCATAATCTGGATATAAATCTATGTTCTTCATGCAACACAATACCTGGATATGAAGCAGATGTTATTACAGCCGCATAATCAACAGGCTGTTGATCAGGTTATGACATGAAATATAAAATGTAATTTTAATTAACATTTACATGATTTGTCAGTCCTTTTGATAGTTTGTTTTCATTAAAGGGCCGATGGTGTGTTGCTATAAATTATGGATTTAGAAAATTCCAACTGTTGTAATGAATTTGTATGAACAAGATATAATAGTGTAATAAATTGTCAATGTGACAACATATAATACAGCAGAGGGGGCAAAAGTGCAGACATTTGTCACGTACGTAGCAGAAAAGATGTGCTAAAAAAATACTCTGGCAAAACTGGGAGTACTAATTCAACTTCTTCAAGGGAAAAAGTGTATTT